AGACGATTTGAACGCGATGCGTGGTACCTGATAAGTATTTTTTATAAGAGATACCTTCAGGACTATTTCATGAAATGATCGACCACATCAAAAGATCAATTATTTCTTTCTTATCGTGTACTGTTACTCGACTGCCCCAGAAGGAGGCTTATATTCTTCAAGTATATGTATGTATATATACTTATTTAGCACGCTCTGTAGTCTACACGGCATCATGGATTTTAGCTTGCTTAGTCTTAATTGTGAGAGTGATACTGGATAATCAGTAGTCCCTATAAATATTCATGCAGTCGGGTTTTTATATTTTTTAATGATTTGTTTGCTTTAACCTTAGTTGCATAAAAAGAGTTCTGAATAACTTCCCTTTAAACAAAATCCCCACAGACCAATTAATTGTTATAAAAAAAATATAAAAACGCCAAAATTAATTCGAATTTAATCCCCTCATGTTACAACAGCTGGGGTCAAACCTGTGTACAAACAAAATCAGGTGCGATGTAACACTACTTTAATCCAAGCTTAGGGGACTGGGGCAAGTTTTGTTTTAATTTATTTTGCGCAGCAGAGCTTTTTGTTTTATTTTATACTACTTTTGCCGTGGGACCGCTTAGTTTTATAAAACCGATTTTACATAATTTTTAAGTATTTATCGCATATTATATAAAAATAGAATAAAGAAAAAGTGCAGAGCACCTTTTCTACAGATGAACATTGAAGTATTCCAAATATAATAGGCTTCCGTGGGCCACAATTGTTGTCGGAGTGAATTGGCAGAACAGTCACAACGCTAGTACCCGACCGAATACTTATATATTTTATTAAATTTATGTAGGTTTATGTATGTATGTGTATTTATATATTGTGTATGTCTCTGGACTTCAATTATGTTAAATTTAATATTTTATTTTACACCTAACGCATCATATTTCTACATCACCTGAAGGTCGACTGGGAGAGAATGCCTAATGGCATTAAGTCCGCCTTTGTACAACATACTCGTAGTATTAAGTTTAAAATAAATAAATCAAAAGAGGTACGAAGAACTTACTATATTATGTACGATATAAGATACGGATTGTCGTAACCCCTTTGCGTCCCGTGAGACTACACAGGACAACAGCACTGCAAAGAGAAGGAGAACTTGAAACAAACCCTATACCAACCCGTCTAGCCAGCGTGGTATAGTAGGCCAAAACCTCCTTTCTAAGGAGAGGCCTACGTCCAGCAGTGGACTATTAAAGGGTGTTGATGATGATGATCATAAAAAGAATATTGAAATTTTAACAACGAAGCTTTTATATATTTCATCACTCTCACAAAAGATAACCCGCCAAAAGTGGCTGATAGATAGCGCCTCCCAAATCCCGGTAATAAATTCCTCTGGCTCTAGAGTGTCAATTGATAAACTTGAGGGAACACGGAGGGCGCGAGGTCCCACGGGACGGTTTATCGTCCCCCACAGCTGTGGTAAGCAAACAATATTAAATCAAAACTGTGGGCACCATGATGAAATGTGCTTTAAATAGATTTTAAAGCGAAGTTTTATTTTACCTTATTCGTTGATTTTTATTCTTTACATTTCTGCAAATAGATTGCACAAGACGGTATTAATGCCATAGACATTTTCTTCCAGTCAACCTTTGGGTGTTACAGAGATGTGTTTTGCGAGTGTTTAACAAGGAACAATGAATTAATTTTGACGGGTTATTGGTCTAGTGGTTAGTGACCCTGACTGCTAAACCGGAGGTCGTGGGTTCGATTCCCACCCAGGACAAATATTGTGTGATGAGCACGGTCATTTGTTGTGTGTCTGGGTGTAATTTATCTATAATATGTGTGATTTCTAAGGAGAGGCTTATATCCAGCACTGGACTGTTATAGGCTGTTGGTGGTAGTGGTTGGTGATGTGTCTATTTAAAAATATATAAGTATGTTTATCAGCAGTCTGGTCACCGTAGTACAGGCTCTGCCTAGTTTGGAATCAGACGGCTGTGTGTGAGATATATTATTATTATTACGTAAAAATAATATTAACTAGAGATAAATATATATATATCGGTAGGTACATATAAATACACTCATGTTTATTTTTTATACAAATAGCCCCGATTGTTTTATCTGTATTAGAAGCTAATGACCCTAGCAGTGCCTAGCCTCAATCTTATATTTAAAATTCTCGTGTCACAATGTTCGTTCGCGTACTCCTCCGAAACGGCTTGACCGATTCTCATGAAATTTTGTGTGCACATCGGGTAGGTTTGAGAATCGGCCAACATCTATTTTTCATACCCCTAAATGGTAAGGGTGACCCATCCCTAATTTTTTTTTGTTTTGCAATACAACGTTTGCCGGGTCAGCTAGTAACATACAAAAAAATCTGACAGGTATTTTTAGAGATTTTACTGTACAACCAAAAAACGTTTCAGTTACACAAGTATACGTAGTATTTAAAACTGGTTGCTACTACATTATCTTCATATTATTTTGTAACGTATTAAGTATCTCCCGTCACGTTATCAAAGCCAAGCATTTCATTATTTTTCTCCCCCGTCCCACGGGAAGCGACCGCCATTCATATTTTTTATCTGTGCCCCGCCCTCGTCGTCCAAAAAATGTTTTTCTGATAAAGTGGTACTCAAAACTGTTTTATCTGTAACTCATGTATTTCTGTCATAAACATTGATACTCGTAGTTTTGAGGGGTAAGTAGACGTCTGGTGTTAAATATATATCTTTAGCGATAATCCAAGGGGACTTGGAAAATAATAACTCGTCTTTATAATAATATTAATAAGGTTTTTATTTCGGAAAAATAAAGTATCCATAAAGTGTTAGTATTACATTAAATCATTATTTATTATATTGTGTTGGTACCAATAGTCCGGTCAGTCAAAAAAAAATGCGCGCCGAGTACACTACCTCACAGGTGGCGTGGAAATGTGTGCATATCATGTATAATGTGACTCTTAAAACGCGATATCTCAGGAATGGTAACTCTCAAGAAAAAAAAAAATCAGACCATTTTTGTACGAAATTTTAAGATCTACAACTTTGATTTGATTTTTTTTGATATAACTTACCGTTTTTGAGAAAAATCCAAAACACCTAAAATTTTGACCTTTGACCCCAAATAACCTTTGTAGCACACATAGGATCGATGGGGATTTTTTTTTTGTTTGTAACTTTGTTTGTAATGCTAAACCCCAGGTCTCCACCAATATTAGGCTTTCCGGGAATTTTTGTTATTTGACCACTATTTTTATGTCTAAATTGACCGGACTACAAATACCCTCTGCACAAAGTGTTTTATAATCGGAAAGTTGAAACTGTCCGGTTCAGGATGCCGTTCTCACTGTCTCTCACCCTTCTCAGGAATGAAGTTATTTCTTTGCGCAATATTGCTTGAAAACTATCGGTGTGAACTTGCAAACGCTCCAATGCGCTTTATGCTGTCTCATAACCGTCTTTATATTCACAAAGATTGCAATTCTTCTCCAATAATATTTTCCAATGTTATTTGAGGTGTAAGCAGTTTCAAATTTTATTACAAATGTTTATAATTTGCATTTATTGCACCTTCATTTATTAATACTCTTTTACTTGTAATTGCTGTAAAGTAATGATAAATATCGTGTAACCTTCCTCAATTAATACTCTATCTAATATAAAAAAATAATTGTAGAATGCGACCTGTAACTTTTAAGATCGACAAAAACCTCACCCGCCTTTAATATATTAGTATAAATTACGTCATTTCGAAATAAATATCTATTACATCAACATAAGCAACAATAATGTCGTGAAAACTACCTCAAAACCCCTATATCCGGTAAGAACCGGATATCATTGTCCAGTGTAGTGACGTGAGATATTACATCCGTTTCCTAGTTAAGGTTTAGCCGCGCGGACATATTGTTTTACTGCCACAAAGGAGCAAAATTCCTTCTTATTGAATTGATTTGAAATTGAAGCGATACAAATCTCATTTTCGCCTCAGTCTGTAAATTTTTTTTTTTTTTTTAAAAGACAGCTCCCGCACTAGGAATAAATCCTGTGTCGCGGGGGACTTTACAAACATACATGAAACGGACGCAAAGTACACCCAGACTCAGAACAACAATTTGTTGATCACACAAAGTGTTGTCCCATGTGGGGTTTGAACCCACAACACTCGGCGCATTAGGAAGTGGCGTGGCGACCTCTTAAACCACTACGCCATCCGTGCAGTCATTTAGTAGCCATTAAATAAATAAGTAAAATAATATGAAGTCTATAATAATACTCGTAATTGTTATAAATAAATAGCCCATAGTCTCACTAGCGTTATTATAGGTTTTGTCAGACCGGAGCTCGGTAAAACTAAAATATTAGTCTCTCTCGAAAAATACTTTTTCTAGGCAAAAAGCACCCTGTGTATTATACTGTACTCCTAAAAAACTTAAAATATAAAGAAATAAATAAAGGTTTTTAGACCAGGAATCCTCAAGGGCGTCCACGCTACAAAAGTTTTACCACAATCTGATCAATGGTTTCGGAGAGCCTGGAGGACAAACATTGATTTTTATTTATAAATATTTCATGTCGAAAACAAAGAAACTGTCAGTTGTTCAAAATTTTGATTTCAGAGCATTGTCATCATCATGACTCTCTTTCTGTTTCATCATCATCATACCTCTACACCATACATACATAAGCCTCTCCTTAAAAAGGAGGTTTTGGCCTACTAATGGCGAACTCTTACAGACGACCTTTATACCGATATTGTCAAGTTTAAATTAGGGTAACCATTTTTTTTTTTTTTGTTGACGGGGTGGGAAATCCCAATTAGGGTAACCTGCGTTGTACTATTACAATATGTTAAAAATAATGAATAGTTAAATAAATATAAAGCTACTACATACGTTTACTCTATACATATAACTCAGAGGTCCATAAATACACAAATTCCTCTATTATGATAATGGCAATTATAAGAAACTAAATTATTCCCTTCTTCTCCAGGACACCCCCACTTTTTCAACCAGCTCTCCTGTGGACTCGACATTATCTCTCTTGCTGGAGAATGGCTGACCGCTGCTGCCAACACTAACATGTTCACCTACGAGATCGCTCCGGTCTTCATCTTGATGGAGAATGTGGTGCTTGGGAAAATGAGGAACATGATCGGATGGAAGACTGGAGACTCCATTTTGGCTCCCGGTGAGTATAGAACAGACCTAAATGTTCTATTTCTTTCTATTTTATCCATGTTAACCTTGCAGATTTGATCACAATCAAACTGGCGACCTCGATGTAGAACCACTGCTACATACTCGTAGGTTATAAAGATTGGCTTATCACAACCGCCTCCTAACTCTTCGACTTCTCCTCGTCCAGGTGGTTCGGTATCCAACCTGTACGCGTTCTTGGCTGCTCGTCACCACAAGTTTCCGCAGTACAAGGAGAAGGGGCTCAGCTCCATCAGTGGACATCTCGTCATGTTTACTTCTGACCAGGTGAATCCGGATTCGTCAGATTTTGGATAAAAATAGTCATAATATTTAAGTCTAGCTAAGGTTTTACTTACATCCCCTTAACTCATAGGAAAAGCACAATTTATATGAAAAAAGTAATTAATATTATTGCATTTTAAGACAGTTTCTAATGAGACTGCACGAGTAGCGTAGTGGTTTAAGCGGTCACCTTGCCGCTTCCTACTGCGCTGAGTATTGTGGGTTCGATCCCTACATAGTACAACAATTTATGTGATCAACAAATTGTTTTTCTGAATCTGTGTGTACTTTGTATCTAAAATGTTTGCAAAGTCCACCTTCGACACAAGATATATTCATAGTGCGGGAGTTGCCTATTAAAGTAAATAACATTAAAGTAATTTCATTATATATAATGAAATAACTTAAATTGTATGTTCACAAGTCGATTTATTATAAAAAAAAGGTAAACACACAAATATTGACTAAATGTCTGTCCGTGTGCAGTGCCACTACTCGGTGAAGTCGTGCGCTTCGGTGTGCGGCCTCGGCACGGATTACTGCATAGCTGTGCCCTCAGACGAGCACGGACGCTTGATACCCACGGAACTGGAGCGCCTGGTCAAGTACCATAAGGACAGGGGCAACGTATGTACCTGTATTTAAATCTTAACACTCTGCGGGGGCTGTCGTAAGTACTGGATAACCCGGTAATCAGTGGGTCCCCTTTTTTTTTCCGTGCGGAAATCCCCTCGGATACCACCTATCGGTGGCATGTCGGACTCGAACCGACTAAAACCGCACGCCGTCTCGGGTACTAATAGCCGGGGAACCAGGTATACCCTAGAAAGGAAGTCCCTGGTGCCCCGACGGTAATCAGAGGGTCCCCTAGTGCCAGGCTATAAATTAAATTTAGTTACTATTGTGGGCTATACTGTCAAACACTTTAAAAATTAACATTTCAATTTGCATTTTTTGTATTATTTTTTCATTACGTGGATACTCATGACGTTGACTGTGTACTAGTACTGTGGCATAGTTGCTCATTATCTTTGAAACATGTCTAGTTTGTGTAGATTCTAAAAAGGTATCATAATGTGTATATTACAAGTAATACTAGTTAAAAGAGCGAAGAACTTAGCAAGGGTAGGATTTCGATTTTTCAAGAAATGTGCCAAGGTTACGATTTCGGCTTTATAACTTTATGATATTTTATCTAATTAGGATATCCTCACCAAACTCTATTAGGAGACAAGCAACATGGTTATTTTTAGTAGTATAAGGAAACCAAATTGTTTTTAATAAATAGCATTTATTGCACAGTTCAAACCAAATACTCAAAATGTCCTCCACATGCAGCGATGCGGGCTCTACAGCGCCTTATAAAATACCTTTTCATTTCCTATTACAGGCAGCATATCTTTCAGTAGCCCAGGCAAAGTATTTTCCAAAAAGTGTGAGAACATTTCCACGTTTAATGTTGCTGGCAACTCAAATGGGCTTGTGATTTGCACACCAATAATCCCTGTCCATTAATTATTATTATCAGACTAGCTGAGACCCGCGGTGTTACCCGCGTTTGTTGTTATAACCGCGGGCAACGCCGCGGGGCGAAGCTAGTCTAAAAAAAGTAGCCTAAGTTACTCCTTATGTCATCAGCTATCTGCCAGTGAAAGTCCCGTCGAAATCGGTCCAACGGTTCCAGAGATTAACGGATTATCAATTACTTTGACAGATCCAGTATAAAGCTAATGGCTTGATGGTTACAGAAAGTCGTAGAAGTAGAAGGTTAATTAATTAATAGAAGTAGTAGAAGGTTAATTCCATTTCAAAACTCTCTGTGTAGCTTTGATATACTACAGCATTTTAAATTTTTTGTTTTTTCTTTAAATTCGACGCTAAAAATATTGTGTTTATTCAGTCCCAAAAGCCCTAAAAACAAAGCATTAGACATCCAATAAATTCAGTTCAATAAAAAAGACAGATTCAAAAGTGGATATCCGGCAATGATGATGAGATTAAAAATGGTTAAGAAACTCTTCCATGCTATTTCTTGCCTTATTTTAATTACAATTTGACACCCAAGATCTGGTTGAATAGTAGCGTTAGGTACCTTTGACATGTGCACCTTAAATTCTTATTATCTTAACGGGAACAGTCGATTATTGTAAAATTGTTACACGGTTGTACCCTACAGATGTAGAACAAAATAGCTTAAGAAAGACAAGAATGACCAAGAATCGGCGAGGCTCTCTTCTCTTCTCTCTTTTTCTTTTCGATGATTCCAAGTTAAATGGTATGCCTTCTATATTCTGCTATATGTATGTTGTCTATTAGGTGCCGTTCTTCGTGAACGCTACTTCTGGCACGACGGTGCTGGGCGCTTTCGACCCCCTCAACGATATCGCTGACATTTGCCAGAAGTACGACATGTGGATGCACGTTGATGTAAGTTGGAATTTTAAGGAGTTTGTTTTAGGGAAACCACACTAGTTTTAGGCGTGTCAACCAGTTGTATCAGAGTGGTGTTTGCTGCTGAAGCGACAGGTCCTGTCTAGCGATGGATATGGTGCCTCTGCTCTACCCAAGACTAATTAGGGATATTTAATTATTATTGTAGAAATCGTCTTTAATCGACTGCTGTACTGAGGTCTCGGGTTTGATTCCCGTTTCGGACAGAATGTTTGTATGATCTACAAATATTTGTTTCTAGGTTTGGGTGTTTTCTATGCATAATATGTATGTTTTAACAAAAAAGTATATAAGTATTCTATCAGTCAATCTAGCTTTCTTAGTACAAGCTCTATTAAGTTTGAATCTAGAAGGCGTTGTGTGTCAGATGTCCGGAATATTATTATTATTCCTCACTTGCACTACATTAACACCAACAAGTATTGCTAACGAACCATTCCACTTGGCGTACGCCCGTGATAGGTTCGCATTGACTAAGATATAAAGAATAATAATAACCTCACACATCTAACACACGGCTGCCTGATCCCAAACTAGGCAGAGCCTGTACTATGGTAACCAGACCGCTTACAAACATACTTATACATTTCTAAATACATACATATTGTAGATTAAATACACCTTATAATTATTTATGATAATTAACTGATTGATTTTTTCGACTGCACTGATGGCATAGTGGTTTAAGCGGTCGCCACGCCGCTCACTACTACGCTGAGTGTTGTGGGTCCGATCCCCACATGGGACGACGAATATATTCAGATACCAGGATAACATGTAGATGTTGTACATATTCAAGTTAAGAGATTGATGTTCATATTGCTTATTTATTTTCTTCTGTGTATAGGCTGCATGGGGCGGTGGTCTACTGTTCTCGAAGAAATACCGCCACCCTCGTCTTACAGGAATTGAAAGGTAAGTGACACTTATATCTTGTATCAGCTACAGTGTTTTAAAATTTCCATAAAACCGTTCATCCCTTATTTTCCAATTCGGGATGAAATGCACAAATATCCTTTCTTAGTGGATGCTTACAATATAAAACCATCAGCCGCCAAAATTTTAATTTTGTAACCCAGTGGTTTAGGCTCTGCGTTGATGAATAATTCAGTCAGGCAAGTATTTTTACCTCTAGACTAGTTTCTTCTCGCGGCTCCGCCTTGTATGTTGGTTATTGTGGTAAAAAGTACCCTATTTTACTCGCTGATAAGGTAGCTTTCGATTGGTGAAATATTTTTTAAAATAGGTTTTGTAGTTTACGAGTGAAAGCGTAACAAACAAACAAACTCACTTTCACATTTACAATATAAGTGTGGATTAGTAGAAGTATCACCGATTTTATAAGAATACCAGCTGAGACCCGCGGTGTTACCCGCGTTTGTGGTTATAACCGCGGGAAACGCCGCGGGGCGAAGCTAGTCTAAAAAAAGTAGCCTAAGTTACTCCTTATATCATCAGCTATCTGCCAGTGAAAGTCCCGTCGAAATCGGTCCAGCCGTTCCAGAGATTACCCGGAACAAACAGACAGATAAAAATTGTAAAAATATTATTTTGGCATATGTACCGTGTAAACATACATATGCATTTAGTAAAAAGCGGTTATTTTAATATTACAAATAGACACTCCAATTTATTTATTTGTATAGATAATAAAATATATAAAGTTACTGTAAACTGGAGTTTCTCTCTCTCGCTTGGTGGTAAGAGAGATCGTGTTGTATGTATGTATGTCCCTTGTCAATTAATTACATTCTCGTGTTCTCGACGCAGCTTTAAAGGGCCCAAAAAACAAGAAGGTCCGCATTATCCGTTATTAATCCGGCAGCCATTAGCGTCTATCAATCATGACTGTTCGCCGCTAAATGCCGGAGGAGTAAGCCGCTACAGCGAGGGAATAGGGAGGGGATATGGATGTACCCTTGTTGTCGATACTATCGATATGAAAATTTAATTAAATATTTTTTTGATCTCTTAGCTTAGTAAATGAGCGGTACTATTTTTCTCTTTTATTAATTTATTAAACTGAGTCAGTCCTTGACCACGGCTAATGCAACTGATCACAACGTCAGGCAATTCAAAAGTAGTTAATACCTATTCATTGCCGTATAAAAATGTTCGAAAGTTTCGAATTTAGTATCCTAATGAGTAAATAAAAGGTAACTAATATCGATGTCGGTGAAACACACGGTTCTTTTCACAGGGCTTTCGCATTTTGGGTATCTCGGTTCCGATGTGTCGTGTGTGTTGAATGAAGAATGAATAAGAAAAGAAGAAGTGTTTATAGGGCTTAGAGGGAGTAAAATATTATATGTGGAACAACGATCTCCTTCGTGTTTTTTACTAGTTCATGTTTTCAATCGTTTAATTATTAGAAAGTAGTAAAATAAAGACACAGCGAATATCTGTCCTGAATTATCATAGGCACATCAGAACCGAGATACCCAAAATGCGAAAGCCCTGTGAAAAGAACCGTGTGTTTCATAGACATCGATAATAGTGACACTGGAACATCTCTACAATAAAATGTCGAGGCCTCAAATGTGAAACACAGAGCTGCGCGGATCGAAATCAAGCTAAATGTAGCAGACGCGTCCGGTGGTGCGTGTGACACGTGACATAGGGTTGGCGATCACTAGAAAATATTTATGATAAATGTAACCAAATAATTTTAATGAAGTCATCATCATCATCATCAACAGCCTTTAGTCCACTGCTGGACATAGGCCTCTCCTTAGAAAGGAGGTTTTGGCCTACTATATAATTTATTATTTCTATCAAACCTAAACAATTTTGGGTTTATTTTTCTATCTGAAGTGAGCCAATCTATAGTGAGTTGGGTTTGGATTAGCATCGAAATCTACATCACATTAGCTACCAGCTTGCTTTGTTACTTATTGTTATATTACTTACAGTATTATGAATCAGAGATATTTTTTGTAAAATCTTCATTGTTGTTCTTTGTGCACATATGAGTTGCTTTACGATCCGGATCTATACGAAGTATTTATGATTTAGGTTCTAATTGATTTTTGTGCATTTAATAAGCAAATAAAAAAAACAATAAATGCTTAAAAAATAATTCTTAGCTTCATAGTATTAATTACTCAGCTTTGTCAGTATTTGATGTCAGATAGCCAAGGTTCTTCTCTTCGGTCGAGGTTTTCTTTAATAGTACACCATAGATTCAGTGCAATAAATCCTTCTTTGACAGACCACCGTGTGGTTTTAGTCAGTTCGATTCCAACTTACACACACACTTTACCGTTTTTCTGGTGAAATGTGGTTTACTTCAGTGCTAAGTTATTTTTATTTAGGATAATTTCTTTGAACAGTCTAGGCATTGTGTTAATAGCAAATGTAATTCTAATAACTAATTAATTTTAAATGTTAGTCTGATTGACATCACATTGGAAATAATTGTGCAAGATCCTGTAAAATTGCCAATTAATGCTAAATTTACTTCCAAATTACGAATGTTTTTGGGATAAAATCGTTTTATGCACACACAGCATATTTTATTAAATAACGAAGAAAATATACTACTTACTATTGTGGGAAATTAAGAGATGACGAATAGAAGTCGTATAATAGTAATTAAAAATACTTAAATTAACTTACATTTAATTTATCATAATTTAGCCTCATCAGAGTCAGCGAATACTTTTAAATGCTAATATATTGTAATTTCCTTTTTAAGGTTGTCAATAAGTTATTATTACAACATAAGAACACACAAGATAAATAATTTAATAAAAAAAAATGCCAACCCTATCGTTTACGTCAAGGATTACCGACTCGTAGCAGGTCTACGGCTACGGCGTAGCAGGCCGTAGTTCACACGTCACGTCAAAATGAAGCAAGTTGGGTAAATTCTCAATCCCGGGATCACACTTTCCTTACATTTTATTCGAATCCTATTTGATGAACACTGTAGAGGGGAGTATACTAGATATGTCGAGTATATGTACTTCCCGAAAAATAGATTTATTAGATTCATCATCATCAAGTGATATTTAATGGCCCAGGCCTTTAATAGTTCACTGCTGGACATAGGTCTCTCCTTAGGAAGGAGGTTTTGGCCTACTTTACCACGCTGTATAGGGTTGGAATAGGGTTTGTTCCAAGTTTACCTTCTCTTTGCAGTGTTGTTGTCCTGACTCCCATGGGATGAATTTTAAATTTACCCTAAATTTAAAAAAGTTAGTGTAGTAAAAGTTTGCAAGATAAGGGAGTTTAGAACCTTATTTGCTTCTATCTATCGGTTTTTATGTATAAAATTACATGCGTATTCTGACTGGTTTAATTCTAAGTATATATGAGTACGTGGGTATGTCACTAAAATGCACCTAAACCGCTGTATTGACTTTAATACCTTTTTGTGCCATCCTGCAGGTTTATCGTAATTGAAACCAGCACGTGGCGCTTCAACGAATTTCTAAAAGTTATTTTTTTAATTTTTGAACCAAAGTTGAGGTACTGTTATTTTTTAAATATTTTTATGTTCGTATGACACGGGCAAGACAACTTCTGCAGTGTCGTTACTCTCGCGCACTAAACCCGGGAACTATCAATAAAATCTAAATGATTCTTCTGTATTAGGTACAGTATTAATTGAAAATCAATCAAGATTATAAAACATAACGGTACGAATTTTAGAAGCAGAGCAGTGACCACGAAAAAAGGTCAAACGGCTCGTTAATTATAATTTCATGAAAAACATTTTCTCTCTGTAACACTTCTTTTAAAAAACAATTCGCCCTTCCCCTCAGGAACGTCACTATTAAACCTCTTTTGAGATTAATTAAAAGCCCCTTGGCTGCATATTGTGAGGGTCTGTGCCACTGGGACAACAAAAAATAAAGAGCTGTGAGCGGGCCCACGCGAGGGACGGGCATTTTATCACTCGGGTTTTTAAATATGGACGCCTATCACACCGCATGTAGTTGTCTAATCACATCAAACATTTTATTAACTTTTAAACCTTCAAGTTTTATGTAAGTTAGTATATTACCGGCCGTGCCGAAATAATCCACTGTTTAAAAGGTTTTTTTTTTTGCATCATAAAGGCACGTCTTGTGTTCTGTATATTTCACTAAAAGTGTATGAAAGTACAATCTTAATACATAACACACTCAATACACACAATAAACGGTAAACAGTTAAAATGAGTGACTCCGGAATTTTACGACCTAATTAATAAAAAATCTAAAAAATGAACGGTGTTACACTTCGATGTTAAAACATCCTGACAGATAGAAGCTGTGAAAACAGGGAATTATCCCTCGAGAGCCACGCACTGAGTCAACACCAGATAAAACTGACTGTTTGAGTTTGTACTTAACAATCATACTGAAGGGTTTGACACTTTTGAATGATTAACCGGCTCGAAGGACCATTGTATCGTTCCAATGTCTTTGATTTTATACCGAAGTAACAAAATCCGCTTATTGGTAACCGGTGCGTATAACCACCAGCATTTGTAGACATTACTTGTCTCTTGCTAACCCTATAAAAAGACAGCTGTAGAATTAAATCAGTAGAAAGTCCACAATGTTCCTAGTCAAGAGGCTTTAATTTGACCAATCGTATCTGCTATGTACTATATCCTAGACTACACCTTCCTCTCTAGAATAGAATATAATTTTTTATTTCGTTTAAACATGAGTACAGTACAATTTTTACATTGCATGAAGATGTTATATAGGTGATATGTACTACATGGTTTACCAGTTCTGGCATACGAAATCTAGCAAAATTTAAGAAGATTAATTATAATGGAAATAAACATTTTCAAATTACTGTCAACCAATATGTCAAACAAAAAAAAAAGTCTAGGCAGAAATAAATGGTCACCATGTACCTTTAGGGCGAACGTCGTGTGTTTGTTTGTTTAAAACCACCCCCCATAAAGTGTAAATCAATTTCCCACAACAAATAGAAGGGGTTACTTACAATGCTGATATACAATTGATTAGCGAATTATGTAAATGACCCCGGAGGGTGAATTAAGACCCTTATGACCTTACATTAGTCAAAAATCATCATTGCACTTTCACTTTTTAATATTGTTGCGGTTTTATTTCAAAATTTAAGAAAAAATCATATTTGTTTATTTAGATACGATAATTTGTAGATGAAAATTAGCCGAATAAAAACAATATATCGCAAGAGAGAGGACGAAAGATAATGAAAAGGTTTACGAGATCTCGCCCACCGAGGGTTCAACATATTGATTTTCGAAAGCTGTTATTTCTTTCTTCTTTTTTATTGAAAAAACACATATTCATGACACTCCATATTCTTAATCCGTTACCTCACGCATTGGCCGTTAATCCTATGTTAAAATACATATTTTAAAATGCATTTCTTTGTCCTCAGAGCTGACTCCGTGACCTGGAACCCGCACAAGCTGATGGGTACCCTGCTGCAGTGCTCCACCGTTCACTTTAAATACGAGGTAAAAAAACGCCTTAAATTAGCCTCATTATGTCCTTTACAAGTAGCTGTAGAACAAGTAAATTATCGATATGAACACAGTATCTTTCAAAACAAAATTATTAAAACGATGTAAAGTTAGATGTGATTTAGAAGAGAATCAATCGATCCTGCGAGCCTTTACCCAATCTAGGTTGGGGTTGGTTTTCAGTCAACTACGACACGGCTAAACTTCGTTTCTTATGATTAAAAAGACAACTTCTGCACTAGGAATCTACTCTGTGGCGGTGGACTTTACAGGACATACACGAAATGGACACAAAGAACACCCAGACTCAGAACAACAATATATAGAAACCGAAACCCACAATACTCAGTGGTTTAAGCATTCATCCTTTTTTACGTGAAGCGACTGGCATCAGACCTCCACAACCCAAGTACTAGGCGATATCGAAGTTCCTTGCATAAAGTTAATATTGACATTCAGCGTGGCAATGCAGCCTGTCTTCTGGAACCGCCACCCATAGGCGATGAAATGAAGCAATTTTTTGATGCATACACGTGAACAGTTTGTTTTTTTTTGTAAAGAACTAAATGGGTATATATATTTTCTATCGCTTCTAAGTTAATTAGAGTACTCCGAGGAATTGTTCAGGGATTTACCAGCCGCAACTTTCCTCCATCGTGTAATGGGACAAAAATTCCACCTCCATCACTTGGATAATATCAGTTCACCACTGTGCGGCTCAAACTATGCTTATGAAAACCCTTATCTTCCCCTTAATTGAGTCTGGTGATGTGTACTGTTATGACTTAAATGCAGATCTTCTCGACAAATTAGACCGTCTTCTTAATAACTGCATTAGATTTGTTCATAATCGCCGTAAATATGATCATGTATCCGCTTTCCGTTCGCAGCTCAATTCGCTATCAATTCGTCTACGTCGAAAACTACGCGCGCTCACTGTCCTATACTCTATCTTAAACAACTCATTTTGGTCAGCATATTTGAACTCCTATTTCCAACTTTTATGTAGCAATCACGACAGAAACCTTCGGTCCTCTAATAACCTTCTTCTTCGTTGTCCCTCTCAAATATCTGAGTTTGTTGTCTAATCCTTTTTAGTGCAGTCCGTTCTTCTTTGGAATGAGCTTCCCCTCAAAGCCAGGATGGCCACGAACATTTTCTCATTTAAAACAAAAGTAAAACAGTATCTTGTGAAGCAATTGGCAGAATCAATTGACACATGAGTGTCAACTAATGGTATTTATTTGCGTACGTATATATATTTTATATAAGTTTATATGTATTTAGGTATATGTATGTACTTAAGTATAGTGTGTATAGGTTGTAGTGTATGATAAGTTCATATATATATAAATAAATATTATATACTTAGCAACTGACTTAAAACTTATAGATTCGTGATACTCCCAAATTGTAACAACATGTTGTACCTACATCGCAAAAGCTACAAGTAATACAAGAAAAGTAAGTCTTATTCCGCATGATATTTGATTGAAAATGCCTTGTTACAAACCATGGGGTGATCCCCAATTGGTAACATATGTCCCGAAGTGTCGGTGGAGGAATTTTAATTAAACGTACCGCGCGCCGTCAGTTGCTGTAAGGGTTGGCGCATGTTTATCGATAAGATTTAATGTCTTGAGTATAGAATACATATTTAGTTCTGAAAACATACGATTTAGGTTAAATTACCTGCCCCGCATCGCTTCCGGTGTGAAGGTGTACATAATACTGGCAGCATTGCCTCGCTGAATTGCAACAGACATCCTTTGCACCAGGAACGAGCCGGAATGGTCACCACCTTTATCCCTACTCGGCGACCAATCTCCGCAATTTGGCTAACTGCCCAATACTCCGCCGTAATGGGCACAAAATAATAATGTGTCTCATTTGCGGCGTACTTTAATCGGCCTACAAACGTCTTGAATAATAGAAAGGAAGATAAAAAGTTGCATATAAGAACTATAGGTAAGACCCAAGACCAGTTTACATGGTGTAATCTGAAAGACGCATACACCAAAACGGTTGAGAACTACGAGTAAGAAGAAAAGTCTCAGTTTGAATGATATAAAGTTTCAAAAGAATCTAATGAATTTTGTGCCTAACCTGTACTGTTCCTGAACGCATACGGAACCCACAATCTAATAATATAGAGCTTAATGCTTTCAGAAGTTATATTAGCATCTTTACTAAATCTATTCCCAGAAGTGATCCAGAGGAAGAAGAAATAATTAGAAATTAAGACACCTTACACACTTGTAATCAATCCAATCCCAAATACCCAAATACTTATAAACATACATACATAGTATTAGATAAATCAAACCCAGACACGGAGTAAATGATTCTGCATATAATAAGATTGTCCATGTGGTGACGGATTAAGATTATGGAGTATCACTACCCTTATTCATCTCGTGGGTGTCGTACAGCGGCGTGCACAGGATTATGACACTAGGTATGCGGCAGAGTAGTCGGTCCCAAACACTTTTTCTTTTACAGATTTTTAGCTTAGCCACAGCCAAGCGATGTATCTCTAAGTCGGAAACCATGCCAACAGAACAAGTCTTAGATGTACTACTATTCATGTACATCTTCAACGGAAACACTGACAAAACTGCGATAGATCGGCGATAGATCGCGGCGGAGGAAATTCTAATAAGTAAAATAATAAGCTAAAAAATATTATAACTACTCACCTGGTCATCTTCAATTTTCTGATATTTACATATTCAAGGTTAAGGTTACTTGAGATTACTATATCCCAATGTAAATAAACGCAAGATTTCGGCCACCTCAAATATCTTATCCAAGTGAGTGATAGTTACAGACCTTTAGATACAATTTTAATCTTTTCACTGAATGACAATTGTGAGAACTTGTTATTTTTAATTTAAATTATACACAAATTTTCCACACATACCTCACAATCAAATAACATTTTTAAAAAATCAACGGAACTCAGTAATAAACTGTTAAATGTACACACTTTCAAATAAAACTATAATTATACTGGCAAAAAATAAAAATGGCCCCCGCGAACAAGAAACATATCTGTTAATTAAACAAATAAAACCTTAACATATTCAAAATTCATAATCCGCATACATGATTTATTATATTTCTGACTATTGTAATTGGGTGGATTTATAGGCAACGAACACTTCCGATTATACCCGAATACTGACGACAACGATTAGCGCGGGACCCGAAGGCCAACTGCAGTATCCTGCGGCTGTAGTCTTGCATATAAAATAAATGGGTGTGTGCGTATGCGAACTGTGCACGGACACCAAAATTCCTACACACATGCGAACAAATGTCCTGCGCGAGGCGACGGCATGAGTTGCTTTGCGCTTGCTTTTCGGTAAACACCTGGCAAACAATGTTTGTGTGGTGCTATGCTATTTGTAAATAGTACGCGTTTTTAAGTTATTATATTTTGTTTTTTCATTTATTTACTATTAATTAAAGTCATCAAAAACGTACCAACGTTTTATTAAAATGTCTGTGAATAGCAAGTAAAGCACTGCATTTCTGCCTACAAGGAGCGCACGCCCCTGGTGTCGTAAGAGCCGACTAAGGCAGCAAACTACGCAGGACAACAGCACTGCAAAGAATGGGTAAACTTGAAACAAACCCTATACCGTCTGGCCAGTATGGTACAGTAATTTAAATATTCCTTTCCAAAGAGGCCAGCAGTGGACTATTTAAGGCTGTGGATGATCGACTGGCCTCTCGACAACAACTGGCCAGTTTAGTTAAAGTAGCCTGTTGACCAAGTGGTTAGTGATGCTGACTGCTAAGCCAGAGGTCGTGACTTCGATTCCGAACCGGGGCAAATAATTGTGTGAAAAGCACGATCATTTGTTCAGTGTCTGGGTGTGATTTATGTATAATATGTATGTATTTTGAAATATATAAGTATATTTATCAGAGTCTCGTTACCATAGTACAGGCTCTGCATAATTTGGAGATATATGAGAATATTATTAGTTAAATAAATGGACTATTTTATAAATAATAGACATGATATTTAAAACTGTATTTGCGACTGTACTGGGACAACCTACATTCCTGCTAAGGAGGGGGGCGTTGACTGCCTTTCTAGGGTACACCTGGTTCAACGGCTATTAGTACCCGAGACATGCCACCATGATAGGTGGTATCCGAGGGGATTTCCGCACGAAAAAAAAAAGGAGGGGGGCGTTGGTGGCAGTGCCACAAATTCATACTTTTGAAGCATCGTTTCCGTTTTGTTTTAGTTTTTGTAATGTTTTTAATTCCAAAACAAACAATTTATTTATTTTATTTCTATATTATATTAAATTATACAGACGATATGATATCACACATTTCCCGGGTGTAAAAGTCGAGACATCAGTTTCTTTACAAACATCGACATCGATACAGTCCCTTCCCTAACTATGAGAGCTGTGTAGGCGGGGTCCACGAGAATTTATCATGAGGCATATTGTGTTGACGTGACACGACTACTTAACTATAATAAACAAACACTCTTATTACAACCTAATAAGGTATATAATTCACTTTTGTGTTAAATTCGCTTCATGTCGAGTGGAAAACACCGCAGACAAGTCAAGGGGGTGGTATAAAAGTTGTTTTTGAGTTGGAAGAATGTATTACGTACTGTGGAACAGTGCAGGCAAAAGTGCCAAGCGAATATAGCTCACGAAGTAAGGAGAGATTCAGTTAGGATGGAAATGAGGAATGGAGTAAGGAAACACACGGATTAGTGTGACGTCCATTGCTCATCCACTGTCAAAAATTTAGCACTTTTGATGCCCCGCTTCTACCGAATCTTCAGCCGGATATTCTGCTATCGTTTATCCGGTCATCCAGCACCAACATTGCCGGGCTAATAGTTTTGTCGGACACAAAACTATTTTCAGTTGCATCAGTTACTGAAATCCTACTACTAATATGATCCCCCAAAACAAGGAATGAGATAACAGCTACCAGGATTAGACACATAGTAATCGCTTGCGTAGAGGCCCTGCAATAATAGTAGGTTTTTTTTTAAGCAAAACAGGAATAACTAACTAAACACTAACAAACAAATACCAACATTTGAAATGGAAATTAAGGATACGGAAATACAGGCTTTTATATTTTTATTTTATTTATTTATTTAAACGTACAAGGAAACCTTATAGTTTCACATACATATCTGTTGATATGTCAGTCTGTCTATACGGTCTTTATATGATTCTGACATTAAGTGCAGATCATTCCACGATCTTGAACACTTTTAAGGTTCTGCTAACGTTTGAATGAACCGACAAAAGTCTCTTAACATAACAAGAAGTTAAGCTCCACACCTACAACCCTCTCTGTACCCTCCGGAGGGTGGAGCCCTGGACATACTGTTTAGAATATAAATCACAGACAAACATCTGGGCGCGACAGATAACCACAGATCTGCATAATTTACCACAGACTGAATAAAACTCTATTTATATTATGTTATTGTCTATGGATGTTGGCGATTAATTGATACTAAGCGATGAGACGTGTTTTTAAAGATAACAGATGTTAATAACTTATGTTTTAAAATATTTTATGCAACAATAAACAAACACACGCTCTCTGGTATTTGCTAAACGAACGTTTAATCAATTCCAGCAGAAAATAAGACAAAACTTGTTGCAAATAAAATATATTAAAATAACTTTTGCGATCTAGTTTCAAACTAAGTAGACCTTGTCCTATGAAAGCTAGATTGACTGATAGAATTCTTATATACTTTTTCTTTGTAAATACATACATATTATAAATAGAAAACACCCAAACTCCGAAACAAGTATTTGCAGATCATACAAACATTTTGGTCCGACCTAGGAATCGAACCCGAGACCTCAGCACAGTAGTCGCATACGCTACCACTGCACCACTGAGGCAGTCGATATAAATACAAGTTCAATAGGGTTTCATACAAAACAATATCTTAAATTATATAAATAATATAAAGTACATTTTAAAAGCGTAACATAATTAAATTTTCATAAATGTGTCAATATATTACACACAATGTATTATTTTAAGCATTTGTCAAGTCCGACTGTATGCAATAGTGTCCTTTTTCAATTTTACATTAAATGTTTGTATGTAAACTACAAGCTATGACTATGACTATTTTGATGACCGGATGGCGTAGTGGTTTGTGTAACGGACTGCTATTCCAAAGGTCGCAGGTTCGATTCCCGCTTAAGTCAAACATTTGTGTGCATTAAAATTTAATGTTTGATTTAGTCTGGGTGTTTCTATGTATAATATGTATGTATTTACAAAAAAAAGTATACATGTATTTATATCAGTTGTCTAGTACCCATAGTACAAGCTCTGCTTAGTTTGGTACTAAATGGCGTTGTGTGAATGTGGTAGAATATTGTTTTGGGGCGTGAAAACGCTTCGTAAATTATCTAAGAGTTTTATTAAAGTCTAACTTGTACAAAATGCCTCTCTATAAGAAGTCTTCTCATATTTGCAGGGTATCCTCCTGAACTGCAACGCCATGTCAGCTGAGTATCTGTTCATGACGGACAAGATCTACGACCCCAAGTACGACACTGGCGACAAGGTCATCCAGTGCGGCAGGCATAACGACATCTTCAAGTTGTGGCTCCAGTGGCGTGGCAAGGTATTAACTCTCTCTGCTTCTATTTCTCTCTTTACATAAAACTCTCCAGAGAAGAAGATATCGTATGCTTTACGTGACTTTTCTTCTTTGGTCGTCTTCCTCTGAGTCTTTTTCCCAAACTCGGGTTAGGTTTAGGTCTACTACGACTACGGCTGCCATCAGAGCTCCACAACCCCAAGTACTAGGATATCGAAGTCCTGTCGAAAGACTGTTGTCGAACTATTAGGGCTCCAGCTACCCGTCCCGATTGCCACAGATGGATGGGACGGCAAACGGAACCGACAGCTTAACGTTCTCTCCGAGGCACGACTCTTACTGTATAAAGAAATGGTCATCCATCCATAGACTGACCTGGTTTCCTTGACTTTGCAATGGGTTCGGTTCGGTTCCTAATCGGTTACCACTTGGTGACGAACCCCAGTCGTATTTCAAATTATTTTTAGAAAGTAGGGTACCAAAGTCGTTTGCTATAATTGGATCCTATGGAGTGTGGTTAGAATGAATACGGTTACTAAAGCACTATGACGAGAGGGGTCAGAATAATGCAGAAGTGATATCTGCTTTTTATGCTCGATGGTGATTGATCCGTACTTCTAGGGAACCTCCGGCTTCGAGCGCCTGATGGACCGTCTCATGGAGCTCTCCGAGTACATGGTGCGACGCATCAAGGAGCAGCCTGATAAGTTCTACCTCATCCTGGAGCCCGAGATGGTCAACGTTTCCTTCTGGTACCTGCCAAGACAGCTGAGGGGCATGCCGCATGATGCCAACAAGGAAATCAAACTTGGCAAGGTGCGTTGTGACGTCATTGTGACATAATATATACAGGTTTTTTTGTTCTTTTTTTTGATAGGTCTGATTTTGGTCATTCGCTTCTGATGGTAAGTGGCTGTTATCCAGAAAACCTTCAACTCAGGTTCGTCATAACTCTGAAGAGTGTGTGAGTGACTTAAAGGTTTAAGAGAAAAAAAGCTGGCCAACTCTCGTAATGAGAGTTCGGTCACAGTTCAGTTCCAATTAACTCTCTATCTCGCAATTGCCAAGGTATTTCGTGGTAAAGTATTAAACATCCAACGTTTACTGTAATGTGATTATATCGTATTGTAACCGAGGCTTGAATCGGTAATCTGCTAGTCTTTGTAATACTTTATCGAAATTATTTCTTAGAACTTATGAGTATAAAAGCACAATTTATGAAAGGCAATAATGAATATAGTATACCTTATTAAAAAGAGAGAGTCACTTGCGCATGGCGACGCGTCGCCACACCGCTTTACTTATTACATCATACTATCACATAGCGGGGCGAAGCGTTGTCGCGTTGGTGATACGTGTCAAAAAAAAAATTTAGAAACCGTAAGGTTTAAAACTTTACAATTAATAATTTAGATGCAACTTAATATAAATTTGTGATTAGTGTCAACATTCTATTCCCAAATATGATCTAAATCTTGAAATGCCCAGCATTTTTACTCATGAATAAACACTCCTTGCCCAGGTTTGCGCCAAGCTCAAGGGTAAAATGATGCAATCTGGCACCCTCATGGTGGGCTACCAGCCTGATGACCGCCGCCCCAACTTCTTCCGAAACATTATCTCGTCAGCAGCTGTCACCGAGAAAGACGTGGACTTCCTTCTGTCGGAGATGGACCGCCTCGGACACGATATCGTGATCGAATAAGCTTTAAATTCGTCGCCACGATCAATTAGTAATAAACTACTATAAACCAGACATTATTAAGTAAAATACATGTTTGTCTCTCGATAATATGAATGGAATTTGAATGTTTAAAATATAATGAACTGTTGTGTCCAATTTTACTGTTCAATGTTAGAATTCAATATTAAATGGCCCTTTTCTGAATGTTGCCAATTGATGTACTTATATTAGGTATATCATCGGTCGTATTTTTCTTTAATTTCATTTCAAAATATTTTCATTTGCATCTAGATAAATATCAAATTAAGTAGGTACACCAAATCATTTATGACATACAGTATTTAAGAACGAAAACACAATGTTTATTTCATTCCTGTAGGTAACATTAGGTCAGTAGCCTAATTTGAACAAACATTGTTTATGTATTGGCAACACCAGCAGTATCCTTGACAAGTTGCCAAAGTTGTATTTCATAGTTGCATAGAACTCTCCAAGAGTAAAATATATATGAATGAGCGGCAAAAATAAATGTGTATTTGCTGTTAAAATAAATGTATTTAATGTTAAATATATGAGCGAGTACTCAACACTTATAGTAACTTATTACTTTAGACAAATGCTGTAAAAATGCATAGAAAACTGACTTAGGAATGCGTGGGGAGATTTAAATACTGCCGCCATCTATTTAGGAGTAGCTAAATAGTAAATATTAATTTAAAATTATAATTTTATAGGATTTATTAGAATTGTTTTGGAATGACAGTTTTGTTTTTGCCAAACGTGTCTTCTCTTTTCAGCTGTCATAGTTTGTATGGCTTACTTTAGACGAGTTATAGTATAGTTTATAAAAGTGTTTATTAGGGAACACTTAGTTTTTGTCATTTTCAGAAAATAAACAACGATTCTAATGTACCTAACATTTAAAGCATTTTTTAAATTTTGAATTCACTAAGTACACTATCCTCCTTAACTGTAAATTCCACTCAATGTTGCCATTTAAAAGGTCTTAATCCCATTTTACTCCCCCCTCCCTCTACAAATAAGGGCCCATGTCTTCCAGTATCGTAATTAACTAGTGTGTCTTTAAGTAATGGCGAACCGTCTCTTATATATCAAATAAATATATGTATATTGAGTGTTGGTCGTTATCTTTATAATATATATTATATCGTAAACGATTTGACAATGAAAATATATTTTAGGGTAAAAAGGAAATTAGAGAAGGCTCAAGTAATTCCATTTGGCTCTATATGTGTTTAATGTAAAAGTGTTTAGAATATAAATCATTAGTATTAAGTATATAAAGGTGTGTTAAATAACGAATGTGTGTGAGAATGGTGGAAATAAAATATATCTATTGTTAATGCTGATTGTTATCTGGTCTGGGTGTTTCTATGTATAATATGCATGTATTTACAAAAAAATGTATACATGTATTTATATCAGTTGTCTAGTACCCATAGTACAAGCTCTGCTTAGTTTGGGTCTAGATAGCGTTGTGTGAATGTAGTAAAATATATACATATTATTATTATTATTATTTATGTACTATAAGTTTCAGTGAAAATCTGTGTTGATTTAAGTATTAATTTTTTCTTACTTAAACTCTTAAGAAACGTAAAACTTTTTGCGGGTGTAATTAATAAATAGTTTGATTTTTATTGTATATCAAGCCCAGAAATAAATATAAAATCTATTTTTTTTATTAATTTATCTGTCATCCAGTTATTTTTAAATTTTGAAAATGTCATTCTACCCGTTAGTCAATTTATAATTTTATTTTATTTATTTTCTTCAAAGTATCATACGGTTAATTTTATATTTTCATTAGTTCTATTATTTACATAAATATAAGCTATATCGATATATTTTTTTGCAAATTATTAATTATGTAATGGATTTAGATCGTAAGTGACGCGTGGCGTTAGTCTTACAAAGAGAATGGTAAAACTTAACTGGTCCATCAAACAGTTGAGGATTAAAAGGGCAGGAAAACTCAAGATTTTGAGCCTCAATTCATGGGTAAAATATTTTGTTTAAAAATCAAAACCATATTTTTACCACTCTATTTGTATAAGAATATTAATTAAGTCTAAAATAGATTAATTATAAAATTGATATGTATCGAAGTCACATATACAAAACATATCTCCCGTTTTGCCAATTAATGAGTATTGTTAAATTTTTCTATGTTGTGGAGCGCAGTGTAGACGACAGCTTATTGGTGCTTACTGAAAATTAATCAATTCCGTGGAAATCTTGAGGTTGCGCCCAAGGCGCTTCTCGAAGACAAAAATAATACTAAATATACTTTATGTGCAGTGCCATCTTGTAGTTGAATTTTGGTTTAGCAGTTATAGAAGTGTAATAATAGATGGCGCTGTGGTTAGTAATGTTAAGGAAAATGTTTTGGCTGGTGTATTGTTGCAATAATAACAAGAATCAGTTGCGTTCATTCGATGTTAGAATGTAATTTAATATTAAGATTAAGCAAGTTATTACACTGTTAAGGTACCTAATACTTTAGGCCGATTTTATTTTATTTTTGTCTCACATATTTTTTCATCATTAAGTATAAGATTTTTGCTCTATTTTTGTGAAGATTTAAATTGTTGAATATAATCAATAGTATATATGTAATAGTCCTCATTTAAGCTCATTGGCTGAAAGATTAATAATGTGAAAACAATAAGTGGTATTCAAAATACGGGCAATACAATATGCGGTGTCAGGAACATACTAATTTATACTCATACTAACCGTACCTACTAAATACCACTTACATTTATTCCACTTACAATAGTTTTTACTAATAATAGTTCTTTTTTTAAGTTTATACAATTAAAAAAAAACTACTTGTAAAATTTTATTATTGACAGATCAAATCTAACTTTATAAATCCTAGTATTTACGTATTTCCTATTTTACTTACTTTGAAATTAAATCACTTATGGTAAGTACGACAGATGAATAAGAGCGCTTTGTTTTGTAATCTTTACACGTTTCTTGTAGTATTTAGATTAAATATGTAAATTTAAGACAAAATACGATGTGACAATGACAATAGAAATCGTAGAATAGTATTTGAGGTGTAATGTCTCTATTTTGAGTAAAATTGGGCTAAATGTGTTGGATGTGTGTAATTGTGGCGTTGCTAGGAAACAATTTCTTTTGAGGAGGCGTTATTAAGAAAATTAATTGGCGCCAACTCTATTATAGAACTCGGTAAATTAATTTAAAAATATAAAAGAACTATCAGTCAAATTATAATATTATGAATGTAAATATGCTGTGAGTGTCTTTAGGCAAGCAAGTAGCTCGGGAAATGAAGTGAATTGAGTTTATTTGGTCTTCAATTAGTTTTACTTGTCGATAACAGATGGCAGCACACTAACTGATTAAATAAGTTTATAGGTGTAATAATAAGTAGGTACCTATGCGTCACAGATCATCACAGTGCTTCCATTTTGCGTAGCGTGTAGAATAGTAATTAATATACCTAGGATGTACTTAACGATAAATATATTTTCAATGTCAAATAATATCTAGTTGTTCTGGCGTCTTCCATATATGTCTTCCGTTATCGAATTTTGTGTTCAATATCTATATAGGTATTATATAAAATATTTATTATAGACATATTTAGCGTTTCGAAAGATTTAGTGTTTAGAAGCAATATACTGTTCACTTTTTGATCACTTATAATGTGAGACAAAATTAGCAAACCTATCCTATATTGTTGCTATATGTAAAAATCTGTATAACCAAATAAATGGTATTGTTGTTAGTTTGTTCTAGTTTTTATTTCACAAAAAGATACCATTTCAAGGGTCTTTGACCGCAATGTTGCCACGGCACAGAAAACAAACAATTCTGTTTACTCGTTGCTGTTTATCGAGTCAACTTCAAAGAGATTATAAATATAGAGGAAGCGAACAAGGCGCTATCGCATGCGGTTGGTAGAGAGAGAAAGAAGATTGTTTTGGTCTTGCATCTCTCCTGGTCTTGTCACTAATTGGCTATTTTAACCCTTAACTCGACAGAGAAATAAATGTCATAATTTTTTTGTTCTTTGTATATATATGAGTTTTTATGTAATAAATGGTCACCAGAAAAATATTAAAAAAAAAATTGCATAATTGGTTTTAGTGTTGTGCCATGTATCTTATAATGCACACTGGCAAGTAGCTAAAAATTCATAATTTGGATTGCTTGTGCATTATTAGATACTTTACTTGACTAGTAAAGAAGTGAAAACACTTTATATTTTTCAAGGTTTTTATTTAATATTTCTTTAAACATAACAATAGTAATCATTTATTATGATACTTATAAAAGCAGTTACGATCTGCAATTAAACAGAGTCTAACTTGCCATTTAAGGCATATAAATTTGGTTTGACCCTTAACACAAAACTTTATCAGTAGGAAGCTTTTTGTCACCACCTCCGAGACGATTTGTTCTCACTGTCCCTAATGAAAATATACAGTATTCATTTCTTAAGTAATGCACTAATTCTATGGATGTAAAAAAATTATCAAAGTATATCACACTGCATGCAGGCTCCTTGAACAACTTGCATAAAGCTATGACAACTTTCGATCCTAACCCTAAGGTGTTTTCTTCCTCATTGAATTCATGATATCTAACCGTATCTTCTCCTCCATAAACCAAAAAGTCATATACGATGCCCTGCTGGAGTATCCAGCCCGAACAAATATCTTAAACCCCATTTTCTCGATTTATTTTTTATATACTGCTTTCGAGTACCAGCTCTTGTACCCTTGTAAGGCACCATCATTTCATCGACACTAAATCGGTTCTCCTCTTCAGTTTTCAAACAATTTTGTCGGATTTTCTCTAATAAGGGTCTAATTTTATAATAACGATCACCATCGTCACTAGGCTACCCACAAAATGCTCTAATCTGGTATTTTGCTATATCTTAGTGCTTTAGACCATTAATCAGTATACGCCGGTAGACGTACAACACCTGTAAGGATATTGATAGCTATAAAGTC